TTGAATAAAATGGGAAGAATAAACAAATTTCAAGGATTACATTTAATTTAGTGAGATTTTTTCTTCAATATCTATTAAACTGTCTACTGCAGTCAAATAGGGAAAGTAACAAAACAGTAAACTAAAATCAAATCTGCCTAAAACAATCTGAAATTTGATTTAAAATCGTGAATCGTTTTTAAATTGAATCGTGACCTCAAGAACTGATCTGAATTGAATCGTGAGGTACCAAAAGATTCCCCTAGCATTAAGAAAGCTAAGAGCTGAATTGCCCTCATATACATCAGTAATTAAATTTCAAAATCAAAATAGTATGTAATATAAATATTGTAAAAAATTATATATAAATGTAAACACTCAACTGCTTTAATCACGCTATACAGGTGCATTTCAATAAATTATAATGTCGTGGAAAAGTTCATTTATTTCAGTAATTCAACTCAAATTGTGAAACTCGTTTATTAAATAAATTCAGTGCACACAGACTGAAGTAGTTTAAGTCTTTGGTTCTTTTAATTGTGATGATTTTGGCTCACATTTAACGAAAACCCACCTATTCACTATCTCAACAAATTCGAATATGGTGACATGCCAATCAGCTAATCAACTCAAAACACCTGCAAAGGTTTCCTGAGCCTTCAAAATGGTCTCTCAGTTTGGTTCACTAGGCTACACAATCATGGGGAAGACTGCTGATCTGACAGTTGTCCAGAAGACAATCATTGACACCCTTCACAAGGAGGGTAAGCCACAAACATTCATTGCCAAAGAAGCTGGCTGTTCACAGAGTGCTGTATCCAAGCATGTTAACAGAAAGTTGAGTGGAAGGAAAAAGTGTGGAAGAAAAAGATGCACAACCAACCGAGAGAACCGCAGCCTTATGAGGATTGTCAAGCAAAATCGATTCAAGAATTTGAGTGAACTTCACAAGGAATGGACTGAGGCTGGGGTCAAGGCATCAAGAGCCACCACACACAGACGTGTCAAGGAATTTGGCTACAGTTGTCGTATTCCTCTTGTTAAGCCACTCCTGAACCACAGACAATGTCAGAGGCGTCTTACCTGGGCTAAGGAGAAGAAGAACTGGACTGTTGCCCAGTGGTCCAAAGTCCTCTTTTCAGATGAGAGCAAGTTTTGTATTTCATTTGGAAACCAAGGTCCTAGAGTCTGGAGGAAGGGTGGAGAAGCTCATAGCCCAAGTTGCTTGAAGTCCAGTGTTAAGTTTCTGTGATGATTTGGGGTGCAATGTCATCTGCTGGTGTTGGTCCATTGTGTTTTTTGAAAACTAACGTCACTGCACCCGTTTACCAAGACATTTTGGAGCACTTCATGCTTCCTTCTGTTGACCAGCTTTTTGAAGATGCTGATTTCATTTTCCAGTAGGATTTGGCACCTGCCTACACTGCCAAAAGCACCAAAAGTTGGTTAAATGAGCATGGTGTTGGTGTGCTTGACTGGCCAGCAAACTCACCAGACCTGAACCCCATAGAGAATCTATGGGGTATTGTCAAGAGGAAAATGAGAAACAAGAGACCAAAAAATGCAGATGAGCTGAAGGCCACTGTCAAAGAAACCTGGGCTTCCATACCACCTCAGCAGTGCCACAAACTGATCACCTCCATGCCACGCCAAATTGAGGCAGTAATTAAAGCAAAAGGAGCCCCTAACAAGTATTGAGTACATGTACAGTAAATGAACATACTTTCCAGAAGGCCAACAATTCACTAAAAATGTTTTTTTTATTGGTCTTATGAAGTATTCTAATTTGTTGAGATAGTGAATTGGTGGGTTTTTGTTAAATGTGAGTCAAAATTAAAAGAACCAAAGACTTAAACTACTTCAGTCTGTGTGCATTGAATTTATTTAATACACGAGTTTCACAATTTGAGTTAAATTACTGAAATAAATGAACTTTTCCCACGACATTCTAATTTATTGAGATGCAACTGTATACAGTAGAAACTATAAACTGGTGGTCCGAAGCATAATCTTTAAAGCATCTTAATGCTCTTTCTAAGACTGAAATCCACATCAGTCTAAATGGTTTCTAATAATCAGTTAACTGGACCTTCCAAAGAAAGCTACTTGTCTGCATTTGACTTCTGCTACAGCTTGTGTGCTACTCTTAACTAATAATTTAAACTTGGCAATATTTACTGCAAATATTATTGGCTTTTATGATAAATTGCTTGTGCTACTCTTTATTTGTAAGTCACTTTGAATAAAAGCGTCTTCTAAATGATTAAATGTAAATGTAAAAGGATGTTTCGAACTTGTCTTACCTGTCAAACAGAGGCTTATCCCCACAGTCAAAAGCATCCTGGAGGTCTTTGACCAGGTTGGCCTGTCCTGGCATCCTAAAGAGACCTTCCTCTTTCAGACCCTGCTCCCGTATGAAATCCACACACTGCTCCACCAGCAGAGGGGCCAGTCGGGGTCCAAACTTTCTCTCATACTGTACTGTGTCCTCCAGGTGCTGGCCAAAGATACCTACAATAATACAAGCACCAGAGAAACGTGTAAAAACAGTGATATTTTATAAAACACATTTGTAAACCTGCCAAGACATTATCAAACTGTTAGAAATCAAAATATGTTAAACAAAATTCAATTAAATCTCCAAAACTGACTGTGTAAAAGAATATACAGTGTCCTATCCTACCTCGCAATACATTGGTTCTGCCTCGTATACTACAATCTTCAGCAAGCACACACAAGCCACGATAAGCGAACAGACAAGACAGAGCTTTAACTTCAGGCGTGAGGCACATGACAGATCCCTGCTGGCATGGGCAGCAGTCCACTTCAGGCAGTGAACAGTGATGCATGAGAATGTGAGTGAGTGTGTGCACACCTGTTTTTGCCCTCTTTCATTGTAATGGTAGCTTCACAGAGTGTAGAGAGAATGTGGGATGAGCACAAGTGATTACACAGAGAAGTATCATATTGCTTAACCCATCAATGCCCAGGTTTACCCCAGCGATATCTTGATTAGAATTATTTACACAACGATTTAAATATGACTTTTTAGGATTATTTAAATAGACAACTGTAGTGACTGCTGATATACAGTCCAGCAGCACTGGGACCACTGTTATCACTCTGCCTTGTTGTACGTTGCAGACCAATTATATTTTAGGATTATGTATCTGTTATAGCATGAATTAGCATTATATTATTTATATGGAGTTTTCATTTTAATTTTAGCTTAAGTTTTAGCTATTTTATTTTGTGCTTTTGTAATTTTTTTTTATTATTTTTACAATTTGAGTTTAAACGATTTTTATTTCCGTTTTAGTAATTTCAGTACTTCAACTTTGTTTCAGTTAGTTGCAAAGGCAACATTTCATATGCCCTTTTAACGATTTTAAGTTTACATTTTTGACCTAAGGTATATTTTATTTAATTTCAGATTTATTTCAGTTAACAAAAACAATTTTTGAACTGTTTCAATTTTAGTATTAGTTAACAAACACAACACTGTTTTAGGAAGGTTACATCATTAAGACAGTAGGTGGCGGCAGATAATCTTTACAAGTGAGTCATATATTCATGTAAATCAACCTATTCGTTCAAAACAGTAATTTACTGAGGAACAAAACAAGTTTAGAGTGAGTCACTGAATGATTCAATGAACCGATTCGTTCAAAACACTGATTCATTCAGAAACGAAACACCACGTACTGTGCTGAGAATCGCAACGGCCATTTTCCTTGTGCCCTTATTATGCAATTTAAGGTTGCTAATATTGTTTTATGAGTCTCCTAAAACATATTTACATGCATGCAATGTCAAAAAACACGTTAGTTTTCTCAAAAAATAGATTTAATTTGACCTCATTTCTAAATGATTCGTAAACGACTCGTGCGAAGCAGTTGAAAGAATCAGTCTCTAAACCCCTCCTTTCTTTGAGCCCTCACTGCTGTGATTGGTCAGATGGCGCAGTCCTTTATGATTGGTCCAGAGCCGTAGAGAGATTGGCTCTGGATTGGTCTACCACGTACAGCGCGTGTCGGAAACGAAACGCCCATTGCCATGATGGAATGACAGCCCTGGAGACTTGTCAATGAATAGAAAAGATGGTATCATAATGTACCTTACCAATTCGAGCCGGAGTCTGAGGATGAAACGGTTGTACTGGCTGATAGACAAGAGACTGTTTCGCAAGCACGACTGGAGCAGAACGTTTCTCAGTGGTAAGTGTCAAGTGTTAACAAGTTTGTGGCAATTATAAGATGTGATAAAAACAAATTCTTCTTGACATGATGCTAACCACAAGGAAATGTTACTGTTTGTGGGCGGGCAAGTTGGCGACATAGAACGCGGGCAGACATTATGCAAATATGTTACTTCGTGATGTAGACATAGTTTATGTTCACATACAGCTACATGACACACTGCATGAAAGGTAATATTCGAAAAAGCATAATAGGGGCACTTTAAGGTTTTGTTTGGAAACAAGTTCTTTAACGAGCAAAAATAGACAAAGTAACCGTCTAAAATGTAAGTTACTTAATATTAACTTATTTTTATTGAACTGTCACAAATGTTGCCATCGGTCTGAATTTCAAAGTATCAGAAATAACTGCATCTTTCTGGGACACATAACAGTCTTTCTGTGGTAAGGTGACCATATGTCTCAAATGGAAACCGGGGACATTTCCTAATTCAGTGGTCAAAATATGATCTCCCTTGTTATTATCTATGAACTAAAAAACGGGGACAATACATTTTTGTATATTTTTGTTTTTAAATTGTTGTGGGTTCCTGTTATTATAATTAATAACAATGATTATATTTGTCAAATTGACCCTAGCTGTACAATTCACCAAAAATCACACACACACACACACACACACACACACACACACACACACACACACACACACTATGAAAAATGGAAACCGGGGACATTTCCTAATTCAGTGGTCAAAATATGATCTCCCTTGTTATTATCTATGAACTAAAAAACGGGGACAATACATTTTTGTATATTTTTGTTTTTAAATTGTTGTGGGTTCCTGTTATTATAATTAATAACAATGATTATATTTGTCAAATTGACCCTAGCTGTACAATTCACCAAAAATCACACACACACACACACACACACACACACACACACACACACACTATGAAAAATAGTAGATAGTAACTATTACAAATAACAAACAGATCAAAACAGTAACATATTATAACAAAATTATGACTTTACATATTTAAATTTTTCTATGAATATACTGTATAATAATAATAATAATAATAACTTTTGAAATTGTATATGTTTGTACTTTTGGAAATGTATCTTATCTATCACTAATTAGGCTAATTATTTAACATTTTAGGCTCATTTTGAGCACAAAGTATGTGCTGTTTGCAAATGTAATTGTTGCATGTGTAATTGCCTAGTTTATTATTCTTATTCTTATTATTCACATCAGGGTGTAGTTTTCACCCACAGCTGAACTTTTGTGAACATTATAATGTTTTGTGAAGATCATAATTTTGTGCAAATAATCCAGCACCCACTTCAAGCAGTTATATTGTACAAAGAAACAGTATTACTTTGATTGAACATGAATAGTTTGTAAATGGCTACCTTGAAACTGATAACAGTGTCTCTTTTGATAATTGGTGATAACAAAAGCTCTGCTCTCGTCCAGGGGCCGGTTGCATAAACTGCTTAGACTAGTCTTAAAAAGTTAGCCGTCTAATTTGTTTTCTTCTAGACTGGTAACTGTTTAAAGTCAGTTACAAAAATGTAGATTAGCCCAATTTTAATCAGAAAAGTGAGACTGATTTATCTAACTGCTAGCTGGTCAAACTAGTTCTTAAGACTCCTAGCACAGTGTCTATGTTTATATAACTGGCCCCTGGTTACATTCTAAAGTAGCCACGCGCCACCAATTAATGGTTGGGGGTTGCGGCCCCCTCTGTCGGTGAAAATAATCACTACATTGATCTGGAAACCAGCAGGTTATATGGCTGGGCTTTTTACAGTGTATTTGCGGGGCTTTTTTGAATGTGCTGTAAAACGGGGACATTGCCCGGGACAGCTTCAGTCGGGGACAGGACACCAAAAACCGGGACTGTCCCTGGAATATGGGACGTCTGGTCACCATATTCTGTGGTGAATATTTAATATCATTAAAATTATATTAAAATGGTTGCCATTATTCCAGACACCCCAAAATAATCTATGTTATTAAATACCTGTAACACAATACCTAAAGATTCAGACACTGTCTCTGCTAGTGCTGTTGTTATTTTAGTGTGCCTGTACATCAGCCATGCAGCATGATATAAGCTGTGTGCCAGATTTAGATCACTCACTCTACCCAAACAAGGTGAGAAAACCAGACATATACTTGCTAGTTTAGTTTTATTGTTTTCTTGACTATGTTGCCTCGTAAGATAGAATGCTGCCTTGGGTCTTATTTGTGTGTGAGGTCCAGGTAAATAAGCTACCTCCTCCAAAGGGAGCCCAGATGACACGTCTAATGGCTTTGACCCAATCCTCCATGTCATTCTGGGAGTTTGCCATGAGCAGGAAAGCCTCATGGCTGAGAGCCGATCTGTCCTTCTCTCCTGTACAGCCTATGAACACACACACACACAAAAAATACAAATAAATAATTTGATTGGCACTGATAGCATTCAGTCTGTCAGAGCCCCCTAACACTTGAAATGACAGACAAATACCAAAACATTTATAATTCTATTATTTTACATTATTGTAAATGCTTCTACTATATTTATTAGAATGCTTGAAAACACATTTCATAATTATTTATTGGGAATCATTAAAAGCACATAATGCTAATGCTGTGGCATTATATAATTCATGATTGCCGGTCTTTGTGACTAAACAGCTATGTATCATTTTCTCAAAAATAATAAGCAGCAAACTGTTTTCAACATTGAGCAGCAAATCGGCATATTAGAATGATTTCTGAAGGACATGTGATCAAATAAATCCTGCATTGGTGAGCATAAGACAATTCTTTCAAAAAACAAAAAAATCTTACCAACCCTAAACTTTTGAATGGAACAAGATATATAAGGAGAAATCAAAAGACATTAGAATATCTGTATTATAGTATACTTATTTGCATAACAATACTGTTTTATCTCAATATATTATATCATCTGCACATAGTATGATTGTCTTTACAATATTTTATAGTTAATTTACCACTAGATGGCATCAAAGCCATGGGGAAACTGCACATGGACAAAACAGTGATTTCTCTTTCTAACATCATGCTACATACAGTACCAGACATTAACCATAGCAGCACAGGAGAAAAGTAGTATTTTGTTCTTAAAGGAAGGACATGAGATGAACTGAAATGT